GGTGATGGTTCACATCCTAATAGTGTAGAAAAGCTGCTCACACGGCCGTCTACAGAACTACTGATCACACATTATGTAGGTTTTCTACCCAAAATAAGAACCCAACTCTTTTCTGTATCTGATTCTACTTAGAGGGAGTCAGTTGTGTTTTATTTTTAGTTAAACAGCTACTATATCTGCATCAAGTTTAATGGTCAGAAAGCTGGAGGCATTTGGGAAACCTTCAGAAAAGGGACGTTTCAGTTGTTAATTTTTCTGGGCTGTTAATTAGAAAATGCTGTGCTATCTGTTGTTTTCCTTTGCTAGGACACTTGTATGAATTGGACTAATCTGGTTTGGATTTAAACTTTAATCTTTGAAGTGCCAAAAGATTTGTATTGATGTGGTGTTCTGTAAATGCAACTCAATTAAATTGAATGTTTTCCACAACCTAAGAAATTTAAGAAATGGTTGCTGTTTAAAACATAATGAACACTAAACAGTGTGTCCATAAATCCTGGATTTTTCCAATCTACTTTAGCTTTTTATATAGCTTGCTAACTGATATAGCTATTCATCGCAGATATAGCTAATAGCCGTATTAGCTAATACAGCTAATAGCTACAATAGCTAATATGTTTATAAATATATATATTTATGAAATATATATTTATATAGCTATTAGCTATATCTAAAGCTATATAAATACATAGCATATAAAGCTATTAGGTATACTAGCTAATAGCTGCTAATAGAGCCATTAGCTATACTTGGTGCTAATATAGCCATTAGCTATATCTAACAAGCTATATTAATACATAACATATATAGCTATTAGCTGTACTAGCTAATAGCTGCTAATAGAGCTATTAGCTATATCTAGCAAGCTATATTAATACATAACAGATATTGCTATTAGCTATACTAGCTAATAACAATATTTGCTGCTGATTTAGCTATATTAGCTACGATGTCAACTAAAATATCTATCATCTAATACGGCTATTTATTTTTTTATCGGCTATATTAGCTCATTTATTTATTTCTAAGCTATCCAAGCTGTATTTTCTCACATGGGTGAAAACTATAAAGCCAAAACAAAGGGTCTGAAAGCTGTGACTACCCAAAGTGCAGCTGGGGAGGCTCCAGAGGACGTGGATAAATCAAACAAGTGAAGTGCCAAATCCTGGAGCTGAACAGGAG